ATAATGGTTATTTTATTATTATTATATATAGTAATATATCCTCATAACCATAATATCTCTCCCTAATCATATCTCTTTTTCTCTCCTCTAAATCCAAATCCAATCACCCCCAAAATCAAGTTCAAATCATACCATTAACTCTCTCAAATATCTCTCCCATAATCAAATCTCTTTCTCTCTCCCATCTTTCTTTCAAATCCCATAATATCTTTCCCCCATAAATCACGTACACATCACTTCTCTCCATCTCTCTCACCCGTACTCTCTCTCTTTCTCTCTCCTCCGTTTCCCAAAAACTCAAGCCTTCTCCTCCCTCATCTCTCTCAATTCTCCACAGCCCCATCCAATCCGCCTCCCATCTACAACCCGCCATCATCCACCACCGTACCTATCACAACCGCCGCCTGACCTCAACCGCGCGTGGCCCCAGCCGCCTTAGCTGCCGCTGCGCGCCACTTCTCCGACGACCCCGCGCGAACGCGCGCCGCCCGACTCCGACCCGCGCCCAGCCGAAGCCCTCCGACCCATTCCCTTAGCCGCGACCTCTAGGGCCGTTTGCCCCTCTCCAGCGCCTCCTCCACCCTCTCGACCACCAGCATCTCCCCCGCGACCTTCTAATGAAAAAACTAAAGAGATATCATGACAAAGATAAAAGCTTCCTAGCTGTCCAGTTATCCTAATAAAGATTTTTTAAAATTTCTAACAAATTAAGCGAAATTACATTTGATACATAATTATTCGTTAGGACAAATTTTCAAAACCAACCTATTTACAAATTTAATCGCAGAAAACAACCCATTTCAAATTTAATTGCAAAAACCGACCTGGTTTGTTTTAGCCCTGGAACTGAAACCAGGTCGGTTTTTGAAAATTTTTATCCGAAACTTCACGGGAGTTGAACTCCCGTAAAGTTTCGTAGTTCAAATTTTTTTTGTACTGGGAAACTTCACGGGAGTTCAACTCCCGTGAAGTTTCGAAAGTTTTTTCACAAAAACCGACCTGGTTTCAACGCCAAGGTTGAAACCAGGTCGGTTTTTGCAATTAAATTTGAAATGGGTTGTTTTCTACGATTAAATTTGTAAATAGGTTGGTTTTGAAAATTTGTCCTTATTCGTTAGCTGTTCACTCTAGTACTATGGTGTGTTTGGTATCCCAATATTGCACCGAACAAGTAAAATCTGTCTCCTCATCGCCTCACCGACCTCTCTAGGTTCTCAATGTTTCTCGATAAAATACAGTGAATAGAGATTTGTTTCCCCTTTTTTTGAGGCAAAATTTAATTAAGATCTCAAGAACTCATTTATTTTATGTTTTCATTCTTTCTCGCAATAAAAGGAAATGAAGGAGGAAGAAATTGTGAAGAACTCATTTATTTTATGTTTTCATTCTTTCTCGCAATAAAAGGAAATGAAGGAGGAAGAAATTGTGAATCACCTGAGGCATGTGGAGCTTGAATAGGGGAATAGAACTAAATAAAAACTTCGCCAGACAAGAAGCTCAAATAACTAGCTTGTGTGGAGGATTGTATGGATCTGGTCTTTCATAGAGAATAGACCATAAACCTATAAATATTTGTAGTTAACATATTTGAAGTTAGAGTTAACAACGAAATATTTGTAGTCAACATATTTGAAGTTAGAGTTAACAACGAATGAGTTAGAACTAGCATGAATTCTAGTAGAACTAACATTACCCGAACTAACCTTGTAAGAACCAATTCCAGTTTACAGTATTTTCTTGATCGCAGATGCAATAGGCTAATGGAAATATCCCCTGATTTCCATCGTATGCAACGGCGCTGAGGAGTATACTTTTGAAACGATCTTTCAGAAAGGTACCATCCAAAAATATAAGTGGTCTACAACCGTTCAAAAACCCATTTATGCAGGCGGCATAACAGATGAATAGCTTTGAAAACCTCCCCTTATTTTATTCAACATGAATGTAGCTACCTGGGTTTGTCTTCTTAACCTCTTCTACATACCTAGACCATTGAAGATTATATGTTAGGATCAACATAAATGAAATTAGTGTCTATATTATAGATATTATCTTCTTTTACCATCGTAATTGATCGTAGGACTCATGGGCATCACCATATAGTTGCTCTTGTGCTCTTTCTTTACCCCACCATATCTTGCTATAATCGACCCTAAGCCCATACGAAGTTAGTAACTCCTTTTATACGTCGATAGGTCGTAAATCTGGCCGGACCTTTAACATGGGTAATACTTGAGTCGCAATGAATTGTCGTGACGCCCTAGATTGACCTGCATTATTGCCAAAATTCTCACATGTGTGGTTGTCCACGAAGGTTTTGATTTCAAGTCTGTTCTCATTTTGCGTTAGAGAGGCAAATAACATCCACGGGCAATTTTGGGCTTCCTTGAACTGACAAAAGACTTGAATATGCTTCGGTTCATTCTTAGCAAACAAGTACTCGAATTTTTTGGCCATGGAATAGTATAGTAAAGCCAATCTTAATTCCTTTGCACTCTCAAACCGTTGTCCCTCACCGGTTAAAGCAGTGTGCCACCAAGCAGGAATCCTCTCTGATCTGCTAATCATGTCATCAATCATCGGAACATTATCTCCAGAAGGATTATCATTGGGGATCCTATCTGAAACACATGTGGGCGTCGACAACGGCGGGCCACCCTCTATGCTTTTTGAGTTCATGCTGCTGCTAGCGCTGCAAATTTAAAGAACATGAACAAATGTTCATAAACTATACAATAGAAACATCAACAAATAACACAAATAAGGAAAAAGCAAAAAAACATCAACTGCTTGTGTTATAACTATCGTGGAATCCAATTGAACTAACAAGATTTCATTTAGAACTAACATGAAAACGTTTAGACCGAACATGAAGTCACTTAGAACTAACATGTTGGACCTAACACAGTATGAACTAGATCTCATAGCAAATCGATTAGCACTAACAATAAGTCTATTGGAACTAACAACTAATAGATTATACTTAACAATAAATCTATTAGAACCGACATTAACTGATATTACATGAATTAACGTAGTACCTAGAATTAACAACTTAGCATGAAAAAAAATCGGCTGGGTTTAGAACTAGCAAGTTGTGGGCTAGAACTGGCTGTATACAAGCTAGAACTAGTGGGATAGAAGCTAGAACTAACGTAATAGCTAGATTTAACAAGTTTTCATTTTAAAACGCTGGTTGGGATTAGAACTAGCAAGTTGTGGGCTAGAACTGGTTGTATACAAGCTAGAACTAGTGAGATAGAAGCTAGAACTAATGTAGAAGCTAGAATTTACAAGTTTGCATTAAAAACACGGGCTGGGTATAGAACTAGCAAGTTGTGGGCTAGAACTGGCTGTATACAAGCTAGAACTAGGATAATAGAAGCTAGAACTAACGTAGAAGTGAGAATTATTAAGTTTTAATTAAAAAACGAGGGCTGAGTTTATAACTACAAGTTGTGGGCTAGAACTAGCAAATCTATTAGAATCCGAGCTATAATCCAATGAACTAACATTAACTGATATTACATGAATATTGTTCTTAGCATCAAAAAAAAACCATTGCCCCTACATGTCATCTCGAACTTGAACGACACTGTGGACTTTTGAAGAATCCTCTTTTTCCTTGAAAGCTTGCATGTGAACCTCCTTTAATCCTCTGTTATGTCAATGCTCCACCATAGACGACAGATCCCCCTCGTTCTCAATAGGAAATTTGAAGCTTCCATTTGTTTCATCTTTGAATGACAAACTTAATGATTCATATGGAAGATCTAACCTATCTGACACATCAAATTTTAGATCAAGAATAGTGGTTGAAGTGTTAATTTTCATGAATACTGCTCTATCACCCGAAGCTACGATGCAGGTAATGTCCTTTTCAGCCATTATGAAGTGGAGGGAAGAGTAATGGAGATAATTTTGGTCTGAGGAAAAGTAATGGAGAGAATTTTGGTCTGAGGAAGAGTAATGGAAGAGTAATGGATATCTGAGGAAAAGTAATGGAGAGAATTTTGGTCTGAGGAAGAGTAATGGAAGAGTAATGGATAACTAGATATTTATTGCTCATGATAGACTGAAAAAGGGGAGAAATTTCCCTCCATTTCTTACAGTAGTTTGCATTTAATGGGATGTAACGAAGAGAGGTGACGAAGCGTCTGGGGAAGAAGGAGAAGGGCAAAGTCGGATTTTTTTAAAATATAATGCCTCTGGCTGTATACAGCTGACGTGGAGGGCCCTAGAAATATTAGAGGCTGCTTTTTAAAATATAATGCCTCTGGCTGTATACAGCTGACGTGGAGGGCCCTAGAAATATTAGAGGCTGCTTTTTGGGGCTTATACACTACAGCTGACGTGGAGGGCCCTAGAAATATTAGAGGCTGCTTTTTGGGGCTTATACACAAGGGGGAAAAAATACAAGGGGCCTCGTCACATGGTTTTTCAGCTTTTGGGGCCACGACACTTTTTTCCCTTCTTTATTTACGTGCTAATTTAATAGTTTTTTAATTATTGATATTTGTTAAATTTGTTATTACATCTATCAAAATTCCTTTTTAAGCTTATATTAACTCTACTTTAAAACAGAGTTGGAGTATATTTACTGATAAATATTAATGATTAAAGTCATTAAATTAACATGTTAGTGTCATATGAGAACATTCAGGTAAAATTTTCATGTTTGGACGATCAAGAGATTGTAGGTGGACTCATTTAAGAAATGTCATATGTTTTTCAATCCTGTTTGTTATTCTTATATTCGTATAACATTTACGTATATTTTCTGCTTGTTTGCTTAATATTCACATTTAATTTTAACGGACAGGAACGTTGAGTTACGTGGTAAGCACCATATCCGATCTTCAGGCAAACCCTTATGTGAACCCAAAACCGATCCAGCCCTTTTACAATTTGGGCCCAGACGATAGAAACAATTCAGGCCCAAGCCACATCACGTAGATACATAAGTCCGAAAAAATGATGGGCATCACAGTAATTTAACAACTTAGGGCATCTCCGTATAAAAGCGCCTCCCAGATCCCACCATCAAACGCCCTAACCCTAGCTTCTTCGATTTCCTCCCCCTAAAATCCGCGGAGGCTCGCAGGCGGCGGCAATCATGGAGACGGTGGCTAGGACGGTGAAGGACGTGTCGCCTCACGATTTCGTGAAGGCTTACGCCGCTCACCTCAAGAGATCCGGCAAGGTTTTGATCCACCCCCCCTCCACCCACCTTGTCCAACTTCTATAATTTCTTCACGAATCGCTTCGATCGAAAGCTAGAAATCTAGGAAAAATCCGACCTTGGTTTAGGATTTTTCACGGGGAGTTGTCGTATTTTAGACACTTTGAGTTTAAATTTAGGATGGTTGATGGGTGAATAGGTTTGAAGTTGCCGCGAATGTTGTAGGGGGTGAACTTTAGGACATTAGAAGATTGGAAATGGATGCTTTTTTCCCCTTCGAACTCTACGTTGGGACCCCAAAAAGCCTGAGAAAAAAATCTGATAGGTTGTTTTTTCTTTTCAGTATCTTTTTTTCTCGTTTGTTGGAAGATTTTGAAGATGATGTATTTGATTTTGTTGGAGGAAGATAGCGAAGTATTTACATTTTAGGGTAGAATAACTAGCGTTGCGCGTAGTTATCAGCAACTAGGGTCTGCGCTTATTAGGATTGCTGAAAGTTCATATTTTTTTCGTCGAGGAAAGTGATTTGCGTGATACATAAAAGGTTTTTGTTTGAAATCAAGTTGGTACCTGAGAAAAAGTGAATACAATAGTTTCACTACGATGAATAACATACGGAAATTACAAAAACAAATGAACTATCTTCAGTACTCTAGACTTTCACAGCCTTTTCCCATATTTACCACACTCGCGTTCCCACCACCAAGCCTACTCTTTATCCAGATCACTTTAAGGACATCACTTAACTACCATGTTTATTTGTTTTTTTTAAAGCCCTGGGAGAGTTTCTATTCTTTCAATAAATATTCTCGCATTTACTTGTAAACTTTTCATTGGCTCTGATCATTTTCACAGATCCTATTGATTTCTGTGAATGAAAAATCAAAAATTTTCTTCACAGTTTTAAGTGTAACAATTTGTTGATCCTAATCTTTAAGTACAAATATTGTTTCTCTTTCTTTTTTTAACTGAATTCTGATTGTACAAAATAGATGGAGCTTCCTCACTGGACAGATATTGTGAAGACTGGGAGGTTTAAGGAACTTGCTCCTTATGACCCTGATTGGTACTATATTAGAGCTGGTAAGAATCCATCGATGTCTTGCTGCTCCAATTTTTCATATGTACCAATCTTGATGTATTTGGATTTCTGTAGCCTCAATGGCAAGGAAGATCTACCTGAGGCAGGGGATTGGAGTAGGTGGCTTTCAGAAGATTTACGGTGGTCGCAAAAGGAATGGAAGTCGTCCACCACATTTCTGCAAGAGTAGCGGTGCTGTGGCTCGCCACATCCTTCAACAACTGCAAGCAATGAATATCGTTGATGTTGAGCCTACTGGGTAAGTAGTTTGTGCATTTATTAGCATTGTTAATCTTGCTGTTTTTTCTTCTTCAATCTTGATATCAAGTCATTTTTCCACAAGATCAAAAGCATTACGATGACTAGTGCATGTGTCCAGACCCGGATTGCAAAATCTTACTTTTTGGTACAGGCACTTCCTGTAGTTGTTTGAAATGTGAATAGTTCAAAAAAAAGTTCAGTATCTGATAGTTAAACAATTGAAAGAAAATAAAGCTCAAGCACTTGTTGGCTAGGATTATCTCACTCTCCGGATGCTCAAATTTTTATCAAATTTGGATATTTATTTGTGTTGCTATTTTATATCACCCAAAGTTCATATGAAAGCTGTTGCCTTCTATTACTGCAATTCCATGTCTCTACTTTGTTTTCTGATTTGGGAATTCTAGATTTTGAGATCGATTAAATAGATTTTTGTAAGATATAATTGATTTATAATCTTTTCCATGTCTATTGAACAAATAAATGTCGTATCAGATGATCCTCGTCTGCGGCACTTACAATGTGCTTGGCAATTTCACGCTAATCTGGTTAAGATCTTAACCGGGTTATGATTGAACCTAGGTGGGGATAGTCCAAAGATAATTTAGATATGGACCTCATTTTTGAAATTAAAATAAAAAAATAGTCCAATCTGTACAATTTTTTGCCAAACACAATTTAAGCCCCTAGCGAAGTTAGTGTCCTTATCAAGTTAGTGGGTGAGATGCCAAACAAGCTCTTATTAACATCCATGAAGCTCCTAGGAGCAAACTTACCTTGATGTCAACTCTCGATGTTCTACCTCTGAAAACATAGGGCAGTGTGAATGTTAAGGGGCAATTAAAACTAGGGGTTTTTCGATACCACTCCCTTAAATCTTTAGTAATTTGATATTAGTTCCTTAAATCTTCATATTTTGATATTAGTCCCTCAAATCTTCATTATGCGTTGGTGTAAGTCTCTAGAGTTAGTTGGGTTATAAATGTGGGTATATTTCTTTAAGTTTTAACCCTGCCATAAAATGACAATTATGACCCTCACCTAACATGTTAATAACCCTACCAACCCAAATGGCTACTTCATTGGAGGGGCTTATAAAATTCCTTTGGTTCTCCCCTCATCCACACTCCATTTCCTCCTTCTCCACCTTGGTATCCCAAGCCCATTTGAACCTGGAAGGTGGCAATGAAGTTTTCTCACTTGGGGGACTTAGATCCCAAACCCGTTTGAACTTATAACTGACAACCCGTTTGAACTTAGATGGGTTATTCCTCACTTGGGGTTTATCTTCATAATTAGCCAACCATGGTTTAGTGTTTTTAACGCTAACCCAAACATGACTTTTATCAACACATAATGAAGATTTGAGGGACTAATATCAAATTACTAAAGATTTAAGGGACTAATATAAAAAACCCCTTAAAACTGTTACGTCATGTTTAAACTATCTTCTCATCCTTCTAATATCTTTTAACTATCTTCTCATCCTTCTAATATCTTTTAACTATCTTTTCATCCTTCCATTATCTTTTACGGGCATATGGACAGAAAAAAAATGCTAGTGCTGGAAAACATGTGTTAACAATGATTTGTATTTGAATAATGGTGTTGATTGGTTTCATCCTTCTAGTATCTTTTATTCACTTAGGGACAGAAATAAAAACGAAAATGCTAGTGCTGGATAAAAGGCTGTAATCAATGATTTGTATCAGAATCAGTGTTGATTTCTTTTCACCCTTTGAATATCTTTTTTTGAATAAAAAAGAGAGAAAAACAAAAATGTGACTAGTTTTTTGAAACAGTTTGTAATCACCGATTAGTATATGAATCATACTGCTGATTGGTTTCTTTATGAAAGCTTTGTGTTGCGATCAATAAACATGGGAACATTGTTAGTTGCTATTGTTTCCCCCCCACTGAGAACACAGATTGATTTTATGTGCTACACTTGCGAATTCACATAATTAACTATATTTTACTCTTTAAATTTCAGTGGAAGGAAGATTACATCCCAGGGAAGGCGTGATCTTGATCAAGTTGCTGGGCGAATTACTGTTGAAGTTTGAGTGTGGCTCAGACATGATGGTTGTCTGTTAATTGTGAAACTTCTCTAGTAGTTACTGTTTTGCAATTTTGACATCATATCGTTTCATTATCATTTGGGCATGTGTTTTGAGATAGCTTTACTTTTGAACTTGCAAATTTAGAATCCTAAGTAACTTGTTCTTGGATCCAAGTAGTTTACGCATTCATTTTGGTGGTATTGAAGTTACCTTGTGTTTTCTAAGAACCTAGGCTGTGTAGAATGTGATTTTTTGATTTCCATTTTCCTTGTCGGCTTTATGTGATCAAGAGGATATGATTTTTGTTGTTCTTTCATTGCTCCTGTAAGTGCTTCGATGTTTTATTTTATTTTTGGGCTTTTTAGATATATGCCCCTTATGTTGTAGTTATTTTTAAACTTGCCCTCCAAATCATCTCAATTCACAAATTGCCCCTCAAATTGATTTATTTCTTCAAATTTAACCTTCAACTCGGTTACTTTTGACAGTTTTTAAAGTTAATCTACCTTTATATTCCTATTTTATTTCTTCAAAATAAAACTGAATCCATTAACCCGAACCTGTTACAGAACCCAACCGAAACCCATTACCTGATGATGAAATCATCGGTTAGCTTTGTATCTTTTCTGCTTTCTATGCCAAAAAAATGTGCTCCAACCCCACATCACGGGCGACGAAGCAGCGTTGCTCGTGAGGCTGCGAAGGCAAACGTCTTTGGAGAAGTAATTTCTCCCTATTATCGTTAATTCTCTCCGCCTTTTTGCAAATTTCCGATTTCAAATTCTAGGATTTGCTTGAAAATTTCTAAACTTGCTGATTACTGAAGTGGTAGCTGATTTGCCAGGGTATCGATTATGTTTTGTTATGCAGATTGATGTTGTTTTTGATGCGTGTACATGAACGAAGGGTGATGTGACTACGGTTGAATTGAGCAGTTTAGATCAACTAGTTCTTGAGAGAAGTCGGCGGAGAAAGGAAAAAAAAAATGATAGGAAGCAACCGACCCCGAGGAAGCAGAAGTGAAAGATCTGATTTCATTTCTTCATAACTGGTTCGGGTTTTGAAGTCGTGATAGTTTTAAATTCATTTTGCTGATTTTGAAAAATAAAATAAAATAGGGATAGGAGGTAAATTAACCTTAAAAAAACTATCATGTTTTTGATGGTAACTGAGGTGAGGGGTAAATTTGAAGAAACAAATCAATTTGAGGGTCAAATTTCGATTTGAGATGATCTTGGGGGGCAAGTTTACAAATACCTACAATTCTGGGGGCATTTATTGAAAAAAAAAAAAACCTCTTTTAACTATCATTTAGCCAGTGGTGTGTAATAATATGTTATTATTCTAACATTAAGTACAAGTATGATATTCTTTCCTTTTAACGAAACCGTAATTGTATGAAATAGTGGAGTTTCTATAGCTTCAATGGCTGGTTATCTTTAAAATGATAACCAGCCTTAAGGCTTTCGTTTATCTAGGGCCTCTCTCCCAGATTGCAAAATCTACTTTGATACAGGCACCCCTTGCAGCTGTCTGAACTTTAAAGCAGGCTAATATATATATATATATATATATATATATATATAGAGAGACGAGAAAAATGGGTATGCTTGGTACCAAGCACAAATTTTGTGCTTGCTAGTGAGGTGTCTCATTCCCATCCACTCATTCAATTGGGGGGACCACATTCAACCCATGTGAATGTGGTCCCCCCATTTGAATGAGTGGAGGATAATATTCCACCTCACTACCAAGCACAAATTTGTGCTTGGTACCAAGCATACCCATATTCCTCATATATATATATATATATATATATATATATATATATATATATATATAATATATATTATATATATATATATATATATAATATATATATATATATATATATATATATATATCTATGAGTAGATCTGAAAGTTAAAGCAATTCAATGAAAATAAAGCTCAAGCATTTTTTTTTTGTTATGATCATTTTACTGTTTGGATGTACAACTTTTAATCCATTTTGGATCTTCACTTATGTGGCCTAGGTATATTTATTTGCGTTTTAACCCGATTTCAATCTCAATATGTAGAATCCTCAATATGACAGTGCAAACTACAAAGTAGAAATATGGAGTTACACTGGTCGAAGGCCGTCATTTTGATATGAAATCGGGTTAAAACGCAAATAAATATACCTAGGCCACATAAGTGAAGATCCAAAATGGATTAAAAGTTGTTATAAGACATAATTGATTTATAATGTTTTCCATGTTTAATGGTATCGCGTGATGCTTGTCTGCTGTACTTAATATCCAGGTAGCTCCTAGGAGCGAACTTTGCCTTGATGTCATGTGTCTATGGGGAACTCCTGAAAACATACGGCTGGGAAAAGTTAAGGGAGTAATATGATTACACATAATAACATCAGGTCGTAACTTTTAGCAATTTTTATCCTCCTTCTAGGATCTTTTAGTTGCAAAGGGACAGAGAAAAAGAAAAAAGATGTTAATACCAGAAAAATGTGTAATCAATGATTCCTATCTTAATCATACTGTTGACATCCTTCTAGTATCTTTTATTGACATAGGATCAAAGAGAAAGAAAGACAAAAATGCTAGCGCTGGGAAAGAAAAAATTATCATCAATAATGTGTGTCTGAATCATATTTTTCATTTCTTCATTAAGAATGCGGTGATTGATTTCATGGGCTTCACTTGCAAATTCACGCAGTCGACTATGTTTTTTCTCTCCTTAACTTTCAGTGGAAGGAAGAATACTACTCCCCAGGGACGGCGCGATCTTGATCGAGTTGTGCTGGGCGGAAGTTGAAGCTTGAGTGTGGCTTAGACATGATGGTTGTCTGTTAACTGTGAAAGCTATTTCATAGTTCTTTGATCGCAATTTTGACATCATATTGTGTCTTTATCATCTGGGCATGTGTTTTTTAGACAGTTTTTCTTTGAAGTTGCGGATGCAGTAACTCTTGTTTTTTGCCTCTTGGAATCATGTTAGTTATAGAAACTTTGTAGCACACTTCTTGGGGGTATTAAAGTTATCGATCTTATGGTTTCTTAGGAGGTGGATGGCATAGAAATTTGATTGATGCTCTCTATCTTTCATGTTGGTCTGTTCCTTTCTGTGATCAAAGGACAGGACTTTCTGTGATCGCTGAGGTCTGAGTGCTGTTCTTACGTTGCATTATGAAAATGCCTGAAATGCTTCTATTTTGTTTATATCTTTTTCCACATTGAAGCAGATTGCTTGTTCTGATCCATGTTTCTCATGCATTTCCTATCTCAAGGATATCTATCACTTTTTTAAGTGAACTATTTTTCTGTCTGAGAAAGAAAAGAAACTTTTTCGATAAACTTTTCAGTTCCCTCAGCACATACTTAGGTTTTGTGCTCTTCCTTTCCTGTTTCTATTATACTTTTCTAACTTCTAATTTTAGCTTTTTGACCTACTGCCTTTGCAAATCTCTTTGCATAAAAAGGACAAGACAAGAAAAAGGAGGGAAGAAACGATTGATTAATATATTTTACAATCTGGAGGGGATTAAGCACACAAATATGACAATTAGTATGTTTCTTGGCAATTTGTAGTGAAAACCCCTTTATAATAAAGCAATATAT